AGGTCAGTGAACTCAGGCTGCGGGGGCTTCCTGGGCACTACACTGAACTCAGGCTGCGGGGGCTTCTTGGAGTGCTCGCTTAGCTCAGGCTGTGGAAACTTCTTGAGGAGTTTCTTGAACTCCGGCTTTGGGGATTTTAGGGGGAGTTCGCTGGTCTCAGGCTGAGAGGCCTGGAACTTTGCTTGAAGGCTCCGGAAGTCCTGATGGCTTCCCTAGGAGACACAGAGCCAGTCAGGCAGGGACTGGTACACATGGGTGTTGGAGAGATGGACATGGGGACACAAGGACACGGTCACAGACACACCACTCCTTCCCTCTTGTTCTTTCACACACCCCACATGTCCCCAGTCCCTTCTGTTCTAATTGCAAAATACATCCGGAATTCAACCACTTCTGACTGCAGCACTCATCCACCGGAGGCGCCATCCAGTTGCCTCCTTCCTGGACTCCTGTCCACCCTCCATCTCTAGTTAGTCCCCTCATGGCAGCCAGAGGAAGCCTGTTAACCCCAAGTCCCCAACCTGCATGATTTTTCTCTTAGTACCTGCCACCATGTATCATATTTATTTTACTTATTTTTTTAAATGTGTGGGCAGTGACTTTCTCATTCATTGCTGTCCTCCCAGTGCCTGGCATACAGTAGGTGCTCAGTAAATACTTGTTGAAATAAAGAACATAGAGGGGACAAAGCCAGGAGTATACTCAGCCACATCCAGTCTGACTGTCACAGACTCTCAGAGATGGATGCAGAGACACTCGGGGGCCTAGAGGCAGGTGTGGGCACAGGGTCTCTCATAGTCCCAGACAGGCTAGTAGTCAGGGACGCTCACTGTTGACAATGGCCACGAGGATGGCAGGCATGCCCCCAAGCACGGGCATGGTCAGGTACATGCGCCATCTATGGTACATACAGTCTGTCCCACGCACTGTGGAGACAACCCTGCACCATCAGTCAGGCTCAGGCAGATGCACAAAGTAGGACAGGCCTGCTCTGGTGACATTCCCCAGAGGTGGCCCTGCTGCAGGCCCCCAAGCCTGGTTTCACCTGGGATCAAGGAGATGGGGAGGATCGCATGTCCTCTCCCCCTGCCTATGCCTCACTCTCCCAGCCAGAGAATGTGAGAAAAGGCTGCGATTCCCGCCTGGGGTCTGAAATGCCTCTGTAAAGGTCCCCCTACCCGCTGGGTCAGGGCAAGGGCTTCCAGATGGCCCACAGGGCCAGAAAGGTCACACCTGGGGTGAATGGCTGGGGTGGGGGCAGGTAGTGGGTGCCTGACCCACTTTGTTACCCACAGGAAGCCCCTGCGCTCACCCTGGCTGTCTGTTACCAGGCTGCTGTTCATGCTGACCTGGGGGAAGGGAGTTGTCTGAGCAGTGCCACCTGTCCCCCCTTATAGTTGCAGCCTCAGCCTGGGCCACGGGCCCCTTGGAGCTCAGACTGTCCCAGAGGTGTGTCCTGGTTGCTTTCCACCTCTGGGCCTTTGTGTCTGTCATTCCTATTTCCCAGATGGCTTTTCTAGCCCCTTCTCTGCTCCACTCTTGGAATATGTACCACCCCCTCCCCGAATTTCCACCCGTGGCACTTCCTACCTCTAGCCAGTGGGGGCTCTCTCAGGGTTTGGGGACTCACCATGGCTGCAGGCAGGTGATGGGCCACAGGGCGAGTGGGACCTGAGCTGAGGCTGCTGCCTTCAGGAAGTGACTGTGGCTTCTGCTCCACAGGCCCCACTATGTGGGGAGGGCAGAGGAGGAAGCAAAGGAGGCGGGGACAGCCAGCGGCTTGTCCCCAGATCCTGCTGGGCACTTCTTGAGTTCCTGACCTGTCTGCTGATGTCTCCCTGCTCCGTGCATCAGAGGTCAGCACATTCACAACACAGACACTAGTTTCTTGGCTCTCTGCTGTCCCCCTCACTCCTACCACATGCCCTGCTAACTTCCAGGCTCCATGGAGGACCTGGTGCCAGGCCCTGAGGACCTCCTGCCGACAGAGGCAGGCCAAGGCCAACTCTAGCCGGTGCCTCCATGGGACGGGGAGTTCTCAGTGGGGAAGGGGCATGGTCTGGCTCTCTTGGTGGGAGACCCAGCAGTCTGCTGAGTGATGGGCGAGGCCCTTTCGCAGCTCTTACCTCATCTGCCTTCCTCATTTCAACACTTCTCTGCAGTCTGATTCCCAGCTCTGAGCAGGACTTCCCTGTTGCAGGGGCAGGTGTCACATGGGGCCATGGATGACTGCAACTGAGCAGATGGCCCACCAGGATGGCAGATTTGGGGGTGGGTGGGTGGGTAGTATCCAAGACCTTGGCCCCTAGGGAGAGAGGGTGTCTGAGGACACCCCAGGTTCCCAGAGGACAGAGGGGTGGGAGGAAAATAGAGATAGGTGGGAGGCCAGAGAAAAGGGGATGAAGGTAGTGGGTAAGACTAGCACCGTTAGGATGAGGCCCAGCCGGGTAAGTTTCCCCAGAAGGGCAGTGACCTCAGTGCATAGATAGAGGGAGAACACACTGGCTGGGAGAGTGCAGAGCCCTGATTTTCAGTTTAGTCACTCATTGGGACTGCTTGAGTTTACAAAGAGACAAACTCCTGGAGATTCAGACTTAGTTGGTCTAGGGTGTGGCCTGAGCCTGGGGGTTTCTTAGACACTTGTGGGGTGATTCTGATGTGCAGCTAAGCTGGGAAGCACCGGTGTTTAGTCCCTGTTGTTAAAGCGCAGGGTCTGCCTTTGGTCCGTGGTAAGGCTTCTCAGGCTGCAACGTCCCAGGTGATGCCGATGCTGCTGATCCGAGGGTCATACCTGGAGTTGCAAGGACATAGAAGTTTCCAGAAGGATCCAGAAAGATCCAGAGGAAGGCTCTTTTGTCTTGAGGACTTGAATTCCTAGCAGGAGCCCTTCATTTTGCCTGCCCTGCCGTGAAGGCTCAGGCAGCACAGTCAGAAATGACTGCCTAGTTTATAATGTCTGCTTTAAGAGCACAGCCTGAGCATACTTGAGCCTCTGTGCCTGTGCATCTGTCCCTGCACAGACAGTCATGCATCCTGAGTCACATTTCCAGATGTGGGTCCCCCTCCAAGCAGGGGCCCCAGGAGGCCAGGGATGATGAGGTCTGGGCCCTTGCTGGGTCTCTGAGACCAGCCAGCACAGGCTGGTCATGGGCTGACTGACCCTCCCAAGTGTTTGGTGAAGAAGGGAAACAAAGAACAAGGGATGATTGATTGCCGAGAGCATACAGTCTTTGCTTAATGAAGGTAAGCTGAAGAGTGAATGACAGTGACTCCCCAGGCTTCAGGCAGGCCACTGGGTATGGAAACCCACAGGCCGGAACTTGGAGTTTGGAGGGTCCCTCCCGGGCAGAAAGCCTGCCAGCAAGGCCCCCGGGGGGCGTGTGCCCCTCCACTCCCTTTTGTGTGTTTGGTACCTTCCAAGACACTGCGGCCTTGAACAAGGACAGAACGCTGCACTAGGTGCTGCAGAACCAGAAGCCGTGAGAAGTGAAGCAGGCCTGGGCCTGTCTTGGTGAATTGAGGGTGTGTGTGTGGGGGCGGTGAGGGAGACGAGGGGGGGGGGACTCGTTGGGGTGAGTGTCTGGAACTGTGTGGGTCAGAGAGGGGGGCCGCCGGGGTTTCGATCGCGTGTGAGAAGCCGAAGCAGGCGCACCGGATCTCAGCAGAAGAGCTGAGGGCGGTGCACTCAATTGCCCTAATCCGGGCGGGGGAGGGCCGGTGCAGGGTGGTGGTGGCCGGGGCAGCCACGTGTGGTCTGAGCGCCCGGAGGGCTAAGCACCTGGGCGCCGATCCGAGGGCGCGCGTGAAGTCGGGAGCCAGGGATAGGAGTTCTCGGACCCGCGTCAGGAGCTTTCACCTCCCCTCCCCCAGTCCTGGGTGAGGGTAACCGAGCCGGCACTCGCCGGTGACGAAGCTGGTGCCAGACAACTGCCAGCAGGTGGCCGGCCACCTGGCCGGCCTCACGTGGACTTAAGCCGCTCAGCCCGTTCAGCATGAACCTGCAGTCCCTAGACCACCTGCTAGGGTTGGGGCAGCTGCTCGCGGGCCGTCGTTCTCCTTCAGACAGACACTGCTGGGCGCCCTCTGCTGGGCAAGCCGGGGCCCTACGAGGACTCAGCTTGCCGGCATCCTGAAGTTCGGGTTGGGGCGGCGGGGGGGGGGGGGCACTTCTGTGGGGTTATAGTTTGGCCAGAGGGAGGGCAGGGGCTGCGGGAGCCTAGAAGGGACACTGGGAGCAGTAATGCTTCCCAGGTGAGCAGACAAGGTTGGATATGAGTTGGGAGGGGATGAAGGAGGAGGTAGTTTTTGGAGTGAACAGGGTGCCCAGGCCAGGTGGTAAACTAGCTCCCCGAGGCCTCGGGGCAGGGTTTCAGTTGGCTCCAGAGGACAGTTGGGGCTGTGGACCCTTTATACTCATGGGAGGGGTGGCTGCTTCTACATGGGTGATGGGGTAGGGGCGCACCTGGACCAAGATGTTGGCCTCTGGGTCTCTCTGGAAAGGTTCTGACAGACTGAGAAGTGGCATCGCCTGGATTTTGGGGTGGCTGAATGAGGGACTTAATGGGGAACCAAGACTCCTAGGGGTTGGGGAAACCCGGTACCCTAGAGATGGGCTGGGAGCCCGGGGGAAGGGGACCACTAAGCCCTGTCCCTGGAGATCCAGGAAAGCCTGGGACTAGGGCAGGATTTCCCAGGACACCTAGTGGCCTTGGGAGTGTGGGGAAAGGGGAGAGCGCCCTTGGGGCCCAGCTTCCTGGGTTTTCTCATGGGTGGTAACTGCCCAGCTTCCAAGGTGGTGCGGAATCAGCTAGTGACTTGGAACTGGGCCTGGCTAGAGTCAGGGCTGTCAGCTTCACTTCCTAGCCTCATCTTCTCTATCTGTAAAATAAACTCCTTGACCCTGCCCCACCTCCTCCCTAGGTTCTTGAGAAGGTCCAGGAAGCCATGGGCTTGGTGACCAGAGGGATGTGACTCATTTGCAAACATTTCCCAAGCCCCCTCCCTCTCTTCCCAGTCCTTTGAATCCTCACAAGGACTCCAGGAGTGAGCATCATGACACCCATTTTAAGGACTAGGAAAGTGAGATGCAGGAAGGCTGAGTCTTCCCCAAGGTCACAGTCATGGTTCCAAGGCTTCTGGCTGAGAGAGGGGGAGCTCAGGGGGCCCTGTAGCCCTATCCCCTGATGGCCCATCTGGCCCCACAGCTGGTACTGAGTGACAACCACCTCAGTGGAGGACTGGAGGCGCTTCTGCTCAGGTGCTTGCTCATAGGATGTCTGTGTTGGAGGAAGGGGAGGAGGGGAAGGGGAGGTTTTAATGGGGCCTTGTGGGCTACTAGGAGAACAGGATCTTCATCTAGATAGTTGTAGGAAGCCACTGAAGGGTACTAGGCAGGGGAGGTGCACCATCAGAAAAGACCCCTGGTTTCTAGGGATGTTCAGACTGGGAGGAAAGGCAGGAGGGATTGCTTTGAGTTCCCAAGGCAGGGGAGGAGGTTGAGGCTTTGGGCTAGAGGACCATGGGGCTGGAAGGGAGTAAGATGCAAGAGGTAAAACCAGCCTGAGACTTGGCTGCTAACACATGGGGCTTCCATATCTAGGAGGTTTAGCCTGCCAGGTTCTGGTGACAGCAGGGCTGACACAGCAGGGCACCTGAGTCTGAACCCTGGCCCAGGTCTGACTTCCCATGAAGAAAGAGGAGTACTAAGGAGGCAAGAAGTCCATGCTCTCCAGGCCTGACCTTGACCCACCCTCCTTCTCAGAACCAGGGCAGGAGAAGTGAGGGAGGACAAGGATGAAGCCTGAGTTCCAGCCTGTCACAGAGTGTCCAACTCTGGGGACCCTGACACGGCCTTCTGACTGGGCTGCCCCACCACCCTCTCACCTCTCTACAAGTCAGCACTGGCTGGCCTCAGGACCTGGGGAGGCTCCAACTGGGCCAGTCCCAGAACTTTCTCAGGACCAGCCTCCCAGCCTGTCCTCCCCACAGATTCCTGGGACTTAAAAAAAACTAAACTGGAAACTTTCATCCCATCTGGCTTCGGGAAGTGCTGGCACAGGACAGTAGGCACTGGCGGACTGAGGTGTAGACCTGGGTCCCAGTGTTGAGGTGACGAGAGGTGGGACACAGGTGGGCAGTGGGGAGGCCTGCCCCCTCCCAAGGGGGTAGCGTCTAGGACTGCTAGACCAGCCTGTTGCACATCAGAGGGCAAGGGACCGACACAGCACAGGCCAGTTCATCGCGCCTCTTTTTATTGTCCCCCACCCCATCCATCTCAGGCGCCCCTAAAATTACAAAACTACCCACACCTCACGACCCACCCTCTAAGCGGCGGGGTTCAGGGCGGCGAGAAACCTGGACATTCCCCCTCTGACAGCAGCGGCGACACCTTGGGTGCAAGCGGGGCCGGGTCTGGGTGGGGTAGAGGAGGGGGCGCCTGAGCCTCGGCCCCGCCCCTCACCTCGTGGACCCCGCCCCCCCCACCCCATCCGCGAGCTCCCTGGCCTTACCCGCCCGCGCGTCGGGGTCGGGGCGCGGTTGCCCGGACGCCGGGGCCACGGGGGCGACAGGGCGGTGGTCCTCCAGGTGCAGGGTCATGGCGGGCCGCGAGGCCGTGGAGAAGGCGCACTGCATGCACGAGTAGCGGCCCCGCGTGTGCTCCCACACGATGCGGCTCGGGGCCGCGTGCCCTGCGGGCAGGCGGGATCCCATCAGTCCCTGGCCCCTGCCAAGGACCCGTCCACTTCCGAGGGCGGTGGACATAGGCGAGGAAGGCTCGGACCTTTCCCCACCTCCCCATCAGTTCCTGGACGCCGAGGATCTGGTCTGGCTAATCCGTCACCCCCGCCCCGGAATTAGGGGCACTGAACTTGACTTCTCCGCGTCTCGTCCCCGGAACCACAGCAGGGGGAGGGAATCGTGAACCTGGCACGAGCATTACACGGAAACGCCGGCGCAGATGAAGGCACGAGGGCCGGTTGTTTAAGGCAAAATCCTGTATTTCGGGGCTGGCACTGCTGCCTCCCAGTATCTCCTGGGCCCGGCAGGGCGAAGGACAGAAACCCCTCCATCCCGCCCTGGTGGTCACCTGCACGCACCTGAGGGCGCGTCGGAGCCGCCCTGGGGTCTTCGCGGGCTGCCGCCTGCTCCTGTGGTATATGGGCGGGCCAAGGTCAAAAATCGTAGCGAGCCCAGACCACCCTTCTGGCTCCCCAGCCGTCACACTCACCTTGGCTCTTTTTCCACACGGCGGCGCTGGAGGCAGGCGGGCCGGGCGCGGTGGCCAGGAAGGTGCGCAGGCGTGGGGGGCTTAGGCCAAAGGGCGCGGGGTTCAAGTAGGGCAGGAAGGGCCCGGCGGGGGCAGGGGCTGGGGTCGTGAAGGGCTCGAGCAGCGGGAACTGCAGGCCCGGCGCCAACGCGGGGTCGCACTCCGGGGGGCGCTCGAGCGCGAGTGGCTCCTTGTCGAGGGCGGGGGGTGGCGGCGGGGCTGGGCTCTGCGCATGCTCGGCGCAAACATGCAGATGCTTGAAGAGCGAGCGGTGCGTGCGGAAGCGCAGGAGGCAGTTCTCACACCTGGGGGCAGGCACAGGGCTGGGCTGGGTCTACTGGGGAACGAGGGCGGGGCCTATCCAATGCCACCTGGGGATCCGCTCCGTGAGAGTAGTGAGCGCGCCCAGGCCCAAATCACAAATCCCCCACCTGCAGGGAGGAGCTTGACCTAAGCATCCCCCTACTGTGGCCGCGACCCTTCCGAACCCCTCCTGGGAAAACGAGTAAGAAGTCTCAATTTCGACTTAGGTAATCAGTTTTCCTCTTGGGAGTTAGAGGGACTGGGCGGAGCCCCACCCACGTAAGCCCCACCCCTTCAGATCCCTGGGACTTACTCCAGGTACCAGTCTCTCTCCTTGGGCAGGTAAAGGCAGGGCTTGCCCGAGGCCACACCCACATCCAGACCCAACCCCTGACTAGGATGGGGAAAGGCCGGGTTCCCAAGTACTGGCTATCACACCAGCGGTGGGCGGAGCTGCCTGGTCACTAAGCACCAAAGGAGTTCGGGGTGGTCTGGGTCTCACTTGAAGTAGCGATTGGGTTTGTAGTGAAGCTTGCTGTGTGCCACCAATTCCTGCATGCTGGGGAAGGTCTCCGTGCAGCTCAGGGCGGAACAGCGGAAGAGTTTGCCTGGCAAGGCAGGGTTGGGGGACAGAGGAGTGGAGTGGGGTGGCCAAGGTCATCCTGGAGGCTCTGCCTGCCTCCCACCCTAATCTGCCACCCACATCCTACCCTGGCCCTACCTTCCAGGGACTGTGTGGGTGGGCAGTGGGTACGCAGATGCTGTGCCAGGTCGCGAATGCTGGGGAAACTGAGGCAGCAGCCAGGGCTGGAGCAGGGTATCTGCTTCCCTGTAGGATGCACACAGCCAGGTCACTTGTCCCTTCCCCACCCACGCTGTCCAGGGCTCTCCACCAGAAAGGCATATACGTGGCTGGAATTACCCTATGGTTTCCTACCGGGGCCTTTATTCTGTCTCCTCCATTAGATGGAACTGCCAGAGGGCAGAGCCTGAGTTGGCCTAGCCCCTAGCTCATCACTGTAGCCACAGCCTGGCACACACTTGGTGTTCAGTAAATGGTGATTCCCTCTAGATAAAGCCCAAGTTTGGAGATACTCTGCACTCCTCACTCCTATTGTTCCAGGGCCTGTGACCCCACACAAGGCCCCATCACAGGTCACCTGGTAGTGGGCGTCGTCTGGGAGGCCGCAGGTCCTCGCTGGTCCCGGAGACTGTGCTTGTCAGGCCAAAGCTGGGTCCAGGGCAAGGCTGGCCACTGTCTGGGACTGGGAATGCACCCTGCTGGGCCCCTCTAAGCCCTCCACGTTCCCACACTGGGGGTGTGATTGCCCGGTCAGGGCCTGGCTCCTCCCCCATGGAGAAAGAGGTGGCTGTAGCAGCTACAACGGGGGACAAAACTTCCTTGTCAGTCTCACTGGAGCTGGGCTCTGCAGTAGCCGGCATGTCCGGGCTGGGCCCCAAGGGTTCCTCCTCCTGGTGGAAGAAAGGTGGGGAGAGCCAACCCCTCTGGGCCCAGTGTCTGCTGGGGTCAGCCAGAGGAACTCCTCCCACCCCGCCAAGACCGTTGGGCATTCCTGAAGCAGCGAACGCCCGAGACATCACCCAGTCAGCCCCCATCCCAAGAAGGCACCATTAAGAGAGGGCAGGGGATGAGGCTGGATTGGGCTACTGCCTCCTGTCTCCATCCCCAGACAGGGAGTTGGGCGGCGTCCCAAATGTAGAAGAGGACATCCGTCAGGAATTGCTCATATGAAAGCAGCATCCCCTCCTACCCAAATTGGGAAGGTGGGAGGCACTCTACGCGGCAGGGGCGTGGCCGAGTGGGCAGGACAAAGACGATGAAGGCGGGGCTCTAAACAAGGCGCGGCTAGGAAGATACTGGAGGGGCCAGAAGTGGCCAAGTGCATTGTTTGAGGGTGGAGATATATATATATATATGCCCGCCGGGCTCGAGTTGTGCAGAACTTCGAGGTGCCGGGGTCCCGGAAGTATAAGGATCAGGGGCGGAGCCCGTGCTCTGTGGGCGTGGCCCAGTATAGCCGGGGCCGGAAGTAGGGGGTAGGGCGCTCGCCGAGTGACAGCTAGCTGTGGGTGAGTGCCCGGATGTGGGGGCGGGGTCGACCGGAGGCTGTGTGCATGACGGGGCTGCTCCCCGCCAGTCCCCGCTGGTTCGCCGCATCCCCGGCGCCGAGCTCACCATCCTCGGCCCGGCTCGGCCTCTTGTTCCCGCGGCTCCGGCGGCTCTGGCTGAAGCTGCGACGACTCTCTGGGCGGCCGCGGGCTCGCGTTCACGCCGACGCCATTTTCCGCCTTCCCGCTCTCGCGAGAGCGGGGGGCGGGACCTGCGCACTGCGCTCCGCGAGGGGGCGGGGGCTGAGAACCCGAATCCTGAACTGCAGAGCCGACCCAGGGGCGGAGTTGCTAGCCGAGGGCAATCATGGGGTGCACGTTGAACAGAGTCTGCGCTGAGATCCGGGATTAAAATTTTCCCAGGCCTGTGTTTTCGTCTGCAAAATGGGCATCTTCATTCCCTCCTGTCCTGTCACCAGCCCTCGAAAGGCGATAAACAGCGGTTCTACTTTTCCAAGAGGTCGTGTTGAGTGGGCAGCCTTTTTTGGAAGGACATTGGCAATCAGTGGTCGTCAAACTTTTCACTGCACTTAGTTCTGAAGTTGGAGTGGGTCCGTTGTGATAGCCAGGGGCTGAAAGCAAGGTAACTGTCAGTCCGGAATGGTGTTTCCAGGAGGATGGCACTGGGTGTACTGGCGTGGAATGAGTCCCCTGTCCAACCTACTGTGTGCTAGGTGCAGAGTTAAACAGTACAGACAAACATCCCTGCCCTCAGAGGCCGCTCACATTTTAAACTGGGAAACACAAGAAATGCAGAAAACGGTCTGAGGTTAAGTGCTACAAAGAAAAAAAAGATAGTGATGTCAGGGAAGTCTCTCTGTGAGGTGACTTCTGAGCTGTTGCTTGATAGGTAGAAGTGAGCCAGTGGAAGGTCACGGGGCCAGAGCACTCTGGAAAGAGTGGATAGCTGGTGCAAATGCCCTGAAGTGGGGAGGGACAAGCTTATCTCTTTCAAGGAACAGTAAGGGGAGCTATCAGCAGCTGCTGGAGCGGAGTGGAGGCAGGGTGTGGAGGTCAGAAAGTGAATATGGTGCAGGGAAGGTCATGCTGGGCCTTGTGAACTGGAGAGAGGAGTGTGGTTTCTATTCTAAACACTAATGAATTTTCAGCAGGGGGAGGTACACCATCTGATCCCTGGCTGTCCTTTGGAAGATGGGCTATTGGAGGACTGTGAAGTGGATCTTTGATCTCAGATCTCTATAATACATATTATTATTAGTAGTAGCAGTATTATTATTTTAACTTTATTGAGGAACAATGTGTTTTTCCCAGGACCCATCAGCTCCAAGTCAAGTTGTTGTCCTTCAATCTTAGTTGTGGAGGGCGCAGCTCAGCTCCAAGTCCAGCTGCCGTTTTCAATCTAGTTGCGGGGGGGTGGTGCAGCCCACCATCCCATGCGGGAGTCGCATCAGCAACCTTGTTAAGAGCACATGCTCTAACCAACTGAGCCACCTGGCCACCCTATAATACATTATTTAACTGTTCAAGAGGTGTATGTTGAGTTCTAGGCGATTGTAGACTTTATGTGCAATGTATTCCCATCTGTGTACATAAGATGTACTTATGTGCTTTTTGTTTTTTGGTATCTATATGCCTTTATATGCAGAGAATACCATTAGAAGGAGACATTAAAAATTGGGGAGGGGAACAGGGATTTTCAAGTGAGGGAGAGACAGATATTTCACACTTTTGTGCTGTTTTAATTAAAAAAACTTGATTATTTTAATATGGTTAAAAACTCTTAAAAACATCATTTTGATGCAGGGTGGAGGGGTGTGTGTGTGCAGGGGAGGTTGGTGCAGTCTGGGGAAGGGTGTGGTGAGGCTTTAGACAGGACAGGCATACAAGGAAGGAAGACGAAGGGCCCAATTTAGGAGATTTTTTTAAGAGTCAACAGGATGTGGGGCTAAGTGGGTGGGGCCTAGGTGACAGGTTTGCAGACGCTGTCACCCAGATGTGAGAGGCTATCTGTTAGAATGTCAAACCTACTCCCTTCTCCATACCTAGTACCCCACCCAAACCTCATCTATCCATCCTATCCAGAAGGCCGTACTTCCTACATATGTTGTGCCTGCCACAGTAGTGGGGTCATGGGGCTGTACCCCAAAGTGCCAGAAGGAGGGGCAGTCTACAGGGGGAGTTCGAGGGCAGAGAAGGGAGACAGAAACACTAATTTCCTCTTCAGAACCAGGAAATGCCCAGCTGATGAGGTCAGTGGCTCATGTCGGTTGTCCTCCCTGCCATCTGTCCTTAATCTAAGTCTTGCAGTGAGACATGCACACAATGGTGGTTGGGTAGTAGAGTAAGAAAGTGAGACATAGAAGGAACAGGGACAATCAAGGTACTGGCTAAATGCTTTTGTATAACAATTCACTAACAAAAGGGCTGTTGAGACCCAGCTGCAGCACTGGGATTTTTTTCCAGCCACACTTAGCTTCCCTAGGTCAGTGCAGAAGGGAGAGAGAGAGTTCAGATCCTGCAGGAGGCTCAGCTGGCCAGTCAGCCGCTGTCCCTTCTCTGGCTCAGTTCTGACCCTACCATTCTCCCATACTGGCTGCTCTTTGAGGGGCTGAGCACAGAGGCAGTGTCCATCTGGTAAGCCAGGATCCTCAGGACCAGACCATGGCAGGACTCCCAGCCAGTTCCAGCTGCTCCTGCATGGAGTACTCAGAGGCTCAGACTCCTGCATGGGGTCTGACAGCTGGGAAGACCAGTAGCCAGGCTGACCCTTTCACCCGTGACCATAAGTGCAGAAATCCAGAGCCCTGGAATGTCAGAACCTGTCCTGGTTCCAGGTGAATGAGGGCTAAGAAAGCACAGACATGGGGTGAGGGGGGCCATGTGGGACCTGCCTCCTTCCTCTGGGTCCAGTTGGGTTCCAGATAGGTTTGGGGGCTGCAGATTCAGATCTGTCAGGACCTACTGGACCATTTTGTGCAAAAAAAGCTGGGATGCAGCTTTTGGAAATTGGCAAGTGAGACAAACTCAAGCTTTACAAGGCTTGGCTCTGTGGAATCTTAGGCAAATGACTCAACCTCTGAGCCTTCATTTTTCCACTTGTAAAATGGGGCATTTGCTGCTCCTATGTCACAAGGTTCTGAGAAGGTTGGTGCTCAGTTAGTTCACACTTCCACCTGGCAAATGTTTATTGCCTGAGTGAAGAGAGAAGAGAGAGAGATCATGTTTGTCAAGGACCACCTCCTCCCTCCCCCGAATATGCCCCGCACATTGCTTACAGGAGACAACTCATTTTGTAGTCACAAGGCAGCTGGGAGGTAGGCTCTGCTGTTAGCCCTGTGTGACACAGGGGGAAACTGGTGTGACATGGGGGAAGCCAGGGCCCAGGGGTGGCTGCAGTGGTGACTACCAGACCCACCCAGGACCAGGGGTGGGATGGGCTGGAGACCACAGGACTGGACCTTCTAGCCAATGCAGCCAAGGGAGACGAGACCCCCCTCTAGCAAGGCCTGGCTTCCTGGCAGGTGCGAGGACAGAATTGTGGGCACACCCACTCATATCTTCTCCACATAGTTTCCTGGGAAAAGGCCCTCCTGGCCATGCAGTCGGCCTTTCCACCAGCCCGAAGGATCTGTGGGAGAGAAGAGAGTGTGAGGCGGTACCCAACTCACCCCAGAGAAAACCTTCATACTGGCTCAGTGTTGGTCTGATGCATTTCTACTGGCCTGATGTAAGGCATAGGCTGAAAAGAGAGTGACAAATGGAAGGGAGGGAGGGACACATACATGGTTTTTCCTTGTCCCTGGCTCACACGCTGTCATCTTCTAGACCATTCACTTGCACTGTTTCTTCATCTCTTACAGGCCCCTCCCTGCAATCCCCATAGTGGACCCAGGAATGACCCCCATGGTGTTCCCCCACCCACCTGCAGAGGGTACTGTTGAGTCCAAGGTTCCTCTGGGGCAGCCCAGGGGACTAAGGTAGGAGGTGGCCTGGGCCATCCAGACATGGCCCATTTCCTACTCACACTTGGTCTCTGAGGTTCTGCTTTTAGCCCTATGTTTGACAGGTGACAAAAATGAGGCTGGGGTACTGGGTGTGATGCAGTGAGGTCAGGCTCCCATGTGGCTTAGGAGGTGACCTCCAGGCCAAGGCCTCTAGCCTATGCAGCCACTGTCTCAGAAAAGTGTATTTCTGTCAGGGACTGGGAGCTAGCTGGCCACCTCTGTTCTCCAACAGGAGGGGTATGCTCTAGTGGGGGGCTGCCTGGTTATGTCAGGGTTCTGACACCTCCCACCTCTGTCCTGGCACACATACCTTCCATGAGGATTTCAATGACTTCATTCACGTTGAAGCTCAGCTCGTCCACGTCTTGGCCCATGTACTGGTACAGTGCCCGGCACCGCGGGCCATGCGTCCGTGGCTGGGGCTTGGGGCGGCCCACACCGGGCACAGGCCGCTGCCCCACGCTGCGCTTCCTCTGCATGCTGTGGGCACAGGGGGGTGCTCGTCACAGCTCTAGATACTCCCTCAATCACCTGCCCACCTCCTGGGGTTGCCCTGCTACCCCACCTACCCAGCCACGCCCTGATCTGGCACGTTGAGGAATTCTGTGTTGTGCTCTGAGGGGAGCTGTGCCCGGGGGCGTCTGCTGGTCCTCAGGGCTGAGGATGGAGGGCCTCGGGGAGGCCGCTGGGACCCCCTTCCAGATGTGATCTCCAAGGGCAGGGGGCCCCCTCTGGCAGAGGGGGGCACCCCATTACGGTCTAGACCTGTGGTTGGAGCAAGGATATGGGCATTTATCAGGGTGATGGCCAAGTTTCCAGTCTGAGGGAGG